GAGTTTTCATGATATTTTATCAGGACCAGGTGCCCTTAGGACAGCGAATGGTGTACTTCCTGAAAAATAACATTCAGGCAAAAATAGCGAATTTTATTAATTTTCTAGGTTTCCATATGTTAATTAGAACTTTTGAATGCACTTAGTGTCACCAGTATTCTTTACTATTTTTCTGTTATTACTAGGTCAAGTGAAGATTCATCTTGCAAACATAGATAAAGCTCATCTTCATCAGTCTGCTTGCCGTTTGATGTTAACATGGTTCACTACTTGATATGTAGGGTGTTATGATAACTCATGGTAACATTGTAGCAACTGCAGCTGCAGTTATGACAGTGATTCCAGAAATTGGGATCAAAGATGTCTATTTGGCATACTTGCCCCAAGCTCACGTGTTTGAATTAGCTGCCGAGGTAATATGTCAAGTGAAATCTTTTCGTGTTGTTAATGCTGATGATGTTTTTAAGACTTATATGTTCTTACGTGATGTCCTGCTCCTGCAGACTGTTATGTTAACTGCAGGAGCTGCAATTGGCTATGGCTCAGCATTGACACTGACGGACACATCAAATAAAATTAAAAAAGGCACCAAAGGAGATGCTTCCATGTTGAAGCCCACTCTGATGGCAGCTGTTCCAGCTATCTTAGATCGTGTTCGAGATGGAGTACTGAAGAAGGTTCCCAGTGGCCTTTCCAGGCTTAGTTTTCCAATTTTACAGTAGCATAGTTTGTTATCAGGTCTTTAAAATTCAAATGGACATCAGTACCATCTTCTGTTGTTCTTTTTATGTTTTAGGTTGATGAGACAGGAGGCTTTTCCAAAAAGCTTTTCAATATCGCCTACAATCGCCGACTGGTGGCTATTAGAGGGAGCTGGTTTGGGGCATGGGGATTGGAGAAGCTACTGTGGGATATAATTATCTTTAAAAAGATACGCTCTGTTCTTGGCGGAGAAATCAGATTTATGCTTTGTGGTGGAGCTCCTTTATCTGGAGATACACAAAGATTTATCAATATTTGCATGGGGTAATTTTTATGCCATCTTGATGGTAAAAAAATATTGGTTTCCTAGTTGTATTCTGTTGTTAGTTCTAAGCAATCACCAGAGCTCATACGGTGGTCTACTTCTTTGGCTAACTAGGATAAGTAGTCCATCCTCATATATCTGATTTTCTTTTAACATTAGTATCTCTTCCCTTGTTCTGCAGTGCCCCTATTGGTCAAGGATATGGCCTTACAGAAACATGTGCTGGAGCTGCTTTTTCTGAGTGGGACGACACTTCCGTTGGGCGTGTTGGTCCTCCTCTTCCTTGTTGCTACATTAAGGTATAATTCTTCTAGTCAGTAAGAAATTATTTAGTCTCGAATAGATGGCCATATTGCCTTACCCGTAATAAAGTGGATATGTTTCGGACCACGTGTTGTGGTGCTTCTTTTTCTTTTTCTAAAGTCTTGATGGATTGCATGCTACGTTTGGAGTAACACTGAAGAGCTATACTTAATCATGTGATATATTTTGCAACCATCACCTAATATATTTCAATTTTATTTCATGGAAATCTAATATATTTTCTTCTTCCTATATAAACAGTCTTCTCATTCATGTGTAATTTCTTTGGGAGCTGTTCATGAAGAATGTATTTTTACAGAAAATAAAATGTATCGTAGGTGTATTAGCTTTTCTATTGGACTAGGCCTACAATTTCTTTTTTATTCTTTTTATCTCAAAACTTGTTCCAAAATTCAAACTGGTTTATGATTCAATTTCAGCAACCTACAATAAAGCTGGCCCTCCTTCAACAAGGTCTTTTAGCTCTATGCATGTTTTACTGTTGGACTTCAACTAATCTGATCCAATTTCTCAAGTTTCCTGTACCTTTGAAATGTGGATGATAGGGTTAAACTTTTTCAAAATGCTTGTTTGGTGCAAATTCATTCATCGGTGACAAGAAACTGAACCCTAGTATTCTGCATGTTAACACTTGATATCATTTTGAAACCTAATTGTGAATGTGAAATAATGCCTTATTTTTACTTGCAAAGCAATAATAATATAATTTTATATACTGTCTAGTCAAACATTTATTTTATTCTATTTTATTTTATTTTTTTTGGTGACCCATCATTATTTTTAGTCACAAGATTAATGTACCAAAACTCTGTTGAGCAGACAGTTTGGGGCTGGGGGGTAGAGATATTGCTTCTCCAAAATGTTAATCCCTATCAAGTTTAAGCCAGGACCATATCTGTGACTTGTCCTTGCAAAATTAACATGATAAATGGGACCGGATCTGTTATCTCAAATGGACTTCCTACAGAAATAAAAAATGGTGCAAAAGCAGAGGCACAATTGGAGGGGTTCTATAAGACTGCCTCTTTCTTAGCACTAATGTTTCAAGATTACACCTTATTATAACAATGTGATAATTTCAAATTCAATAGCCATGCATCAGCCTTGAACACATCCGTGGAGGGAGATGTGAGGTTCCGTGATTCCCTTTTGTGTCAAGGTTGAAGGTTAACAATGGAAAGTGAGGACAACATCCTTGCAGTTATCTCTTCCCCCCAGGCCTTAAACTAGGACATTTTATTTGAGAAAATATGTCTGATTTGCTTGACCTATGAAATGTCTACCTATTCATCTTTTATTTAACAAAGCTCAATTAATCTCCGTCGGGATTCCTGCAGTAGCCTTGTCTTACTTTTTAGGAGAGATCAATCTTAAGCACCCTTAAATCTGTACAGACATTTAAAAAATATAATAATAATAAAAAATAAAACCACCTGTGAGAAGAAACTAGAATCAGTTACTCCTCCCTCCTCATTCTAAATATGGTCCTTGGAGCACTTGCTTCAGAAACTAAAAGTTCGGGGGTTTTCAAATTCGATTATCTATTCAGATCCAAAGAGTCTATAAATGTCATTCTAAGTGACTATTAAATATGAACATGTAAATGGTTGCAAGCTATAGAAGACAGGACATTCCTTTTCATGGGTGGTTATATTCCTGTATTGATGCATATTTTGGTTGGGATAATTAATTGAACCCATAATTTTTACCTTTCGAAGAGCATTTATTTGAACAAATGTTACCAAAGAAGATTTCATAAGAAAAATAAAATTTAAAAAGCAAATGCTTACAGTCTTTACCTCTGGTACACCTTGACGGTTGGCGGTTTTCTGTTTCAATCTGGCCTCCGTTTTAAATATAATTTCTTGAGCTTGTTGCTGCAGCTTGTGTCTTGGGAAGAAGGTGGTTACACAATATCTGACAAACCAATGCCCCGAGGGGAGATTGTTGTCGGTGGGTGCAGTGTGACGGCTGGATACTTGGATAATGATTCCAAAACTAAAGAGGTTTATAAGGTGCGAATTATTCTAATTAGTGATTAGCAACCTGACAATTGATGTTGTAGCCTAATTTTAGTGTTATGCTTCTCTAATACAGGTTGATGAGAAAGGCATGCGCTGGTTCTATACTGGTGATATTGGAAGGTTTCATCCTGATGGATGCCTTGAGATTATTGATAGGAAAAAGGATATTGTTAAGCTTCAACATGGGGAATACATCTCACTGGGAAAGGTATGTATATAATTTTTGAATTAAGAGTTGTTAACTTCAAGTTTAACTGGGACATAGATAATCTGATTGTCGTTTATTAGACATGTAGTTTGCCATATATTTACTTTCATTTGTTTATCTATGTTACCCAAACTCGCCCACTATAAACGTGTGTGTCAGGGTAAAGTTGTACTTGGCTAAGATGTGATGCTGAATTGCAGGTTGAGGCTGCACTTGCTTCAAACAATTACGTAGATAACATCATGGTCTATGCAGATCCTTTCCACAACTTCTGTGTAGCCCTTGTTGTCCCTTCACATCAGGTCCTGGAGGGATGGGCCCGTGAAGTTGGAATCAAATTCAAAGATTTATCCGAGCTGTGCGAAAAACCAGAAGCTACAAATGAGGTCCTGCAATCACTAACCAAGGTTTATTTCTTACCAGCTTACGAGGAAGATTTATTGTGAAAATAATTAATTCTTACATTTCCTCTGACTTGTAGATAGGTAACCTGAAATTTTCCGCTTAAATATATTTCCTCTCTATGTAAGAAACTGAAGAAAACGGAAAATAAAGTATTTGAGCAGACTGGAGCATCTCTGCGCTTTAGACCGGGTCTCTGAAAAGTGGGAATGTTATTTCTTCTGTTCATATGTAGACTAGTCACTTATCTTTTCCCTCTCGTTGCACCTGGGCACAGGCCTTTTAAGGGAGTCACGAGAGGGAGTGGGGACTCGTGGATCCAGGCATTGGATGATTGGGCATAATCTTGTTGCGCTAGAATATGAAGATAGTTTTGAAAACTCCGCGATTTAGTCTCTCATGATGAATCAATTATGTTTAGGCCTGTGATTTTTTTTGACATTTACTCATATTATGCAGACAGCAAAAATAGCGAAACTCGACAAGTTTGAAACTCCTGCAAAGATAAAGTTGTTGGCTGAGCCCTGGACTCCAGAATCTGGGTTGGTTACTGCAGCTCTCAAGTTAAAGAGAGAGCAACTGAAGACAAGGTTTGAAGATGAGCTCCAGAAGCTGTACCAGTGACACGTTTTCTTGCTTATTCGCTTATGCCGAAAATCAAACTAATTTTAATGGAATAATTTTTGTTTTAATTTCGAGGCTGTAATTACTTGTAAACGTACATTTGTTACACAAACTAATATGTGGGTTTTGAAACCCTGTTTGGACCCTCAACTTATGAGGGTGCTCTATTATGGTTGTCGAATCTGATTTTTTTATGAAATTAGCACTGAACTTTCAACCGATGTAATTTGAACGTGGCAGGCAGATATATGAAATAATTTCATACATCGTTTGTGCTATATTCTATATATACATGACGTGAGATATGAATGAGTTAGAATATATTCAAATAAAAATAAATAAAACTCCTTATGTATATGTATTATTATAAAAAAAAAAAAAAAAGGAAATAATCCTGTTCATTCTAGGCTGCCAATCAAGAAAGATATTGCTGTCATCATGTACACAAGTGGCAGTACAGGCCTCCCAAAGGTTCTATGATATTTTCACTATGCACATAGACAGATTTAATATCACCTCTTGCTTGCTGCATGCATGTGTAGATACTCGTGTTTGGTGGAAATCTAGAACCATGCCTGGCAGATCTTGACTATTGTTAGAATCGGCTGTTGCAGATTTCGTATGCCAACTCGTGGTTCATTTAACCATAAACAATATAGATTTACAAAGACTGACTCATAGAGTGCCTAAAATAATTGACCAAATTATCTATTGTTCAATTACATATTATGGTTCACTTTAATAAGGACGTCTAGGCGAGTTTTCATGATATTTTATCAGGACCAGGTGCCCTTAGGACAGCGAATGGTGTACTTCCTGAAAAATAACATTCAGGCAAAAATAGCGAATTTTATTAATTTTCTAGGTTTCCATATGTTAATTAGAACTTTTGAATGCACTTAGTGTCACCAGTATTCTTTACTATTTTTCTGTTATTACTAGGTCAAGTGAAGATTCATCTTGCAAACATAGATAAAGCTCATCTTCATCAGTCTGCTTGCCGTTTGATGTTAACATGGTTCACTACTTGATATGTAGGGTGTTATGATAACTCATGGTAACATTGTAGCAACTGCAGCTGCAGTTATGACAGTGATTCCAGAAATTGGGATCAAAGATGTCTATTTGGCATACTTGCCCCAAGCTCACGTGTTTGAATTAGCTGCCGAGGTAATATGTCAAGTGAAATCTTTTCGTGTTGTTAATGCTGATGATGTTTTTAAGACTTATATGTTCTTACGTGATGTCCTGCTCCTGCAGACTGTTATGTTAACTGCAGGAGCTGCAATTGGCTATGGCTCAGCATTGACACTGACGGACACATCAAATAAAATTAAAAAAGGCACCAAAGGAGATGCTTCCATGTTGAAGCCCACTCTGATGGCAGCTGTTCCAGCTATCTTAGATCGTGTTCGAGATGGAGTACTGAAGAAGGTTCCCAGTGGCCTTTCCAGGCTTAGTTTTCCAATTTTACAGTAGCATAGTTTGTTATCAGGTCTTTAAAATTCAAATGGACATCAGTACCATCTTCTGTTGTTCTTTTTATGTTTTAGGTTGATGAGACAGGAGGCTTTTCCAAAAAGCTTTTCAATATCGCCTACAATCGCCGACTGGTGGCTATTAGAGGGAGCTGGTTTGGGGCATGGGGATTGGAGAAGCTACTGTGGGATATAATTATCTTTAAAAAGATACGCTCTGTTCTTGGCGGAGAAATCAGATTTATGCTTTGTGGTGGAGCTCCTTTATCTGGAGATACACAAAGATTTATCAATATTTGCATGGGGTAATTTTTATGCCATCTTGATGGTAAAAAAATATTGGTTTCCTAGTTGTATTCTGTTGTTAGTTCTAAGCAATCACCAGAGCTCATACGGTGGTCTACTTCTTTGGCTAACTAGGATAAGTAGTCCATCCTCATATATCTGATTTTCTTTTAACATTAGTATCTCTTCCCTTGTTCTGCAGTGCCCCTATTGGTCAAGGATATGGCCTTACAGAAACATGTGCTGGAGCTGCTTTTTCTGAGTGGGACGACACTTCCGTTGGGCGTGTTGGTCCTCCTCTTCCTTGTTGCTACATTAAGGTATAATTCTTCTAGTCAGTAAGAAATTATTTAGTCTCGAATAGATGGCCATATTGCCTTACCCGTAATAAAGTGGATATGTTTCGGACCACGTGTTGTGGTGCTTCTTTTTCTTTTTCTAAAGTCTTGATGGATTGCATGCTACGTTTGGAGTAACACTGAAGAGCTATACTTAATCATGTGATATATTTTGCAACCATCACCTAATATATTTCAATTTTATTTCATGGAAATCTAATATATTTTCTTCTTCCTATATAAACAGTCTTCTCATTCATGTGTAATTTCTTTGGGAGCTGTTCATGAAGAATGTATTTTTACAGAAAATAAAATGTATCGTAGGTGTATTAGCTTTTCTATTGGACTAGGCCTACAATTTCTTTTTTATTCTTTTTATCTCAAAACTTGTTCCAAAATTCAAACTGGTTTATGATTCAATTTCAGCAACCTACAATAAAGCTGGCCCTCCTTCAACAAGATCTTTTAGCTCTATGCATGTTTTACTGTTGGACTTCAACTAATCTGATCCAATTTCTCAAGTTTCCTGTACCTTTGAAATGTGGATGATAGGGTTAAACTTTTTCAAAATGCTTGTTTGGTGCAAATTCATTCATCGGTGACAAGAAACTGAACCCTAGTATTCTGCATGTTAACACTTGATATCATTTTGAAACCTAATTGTGAATGTGAAATAATGCCTTATTTTTACTTGCAAAGCAATAATAATATAATTTTATATACTGTCTAGTCAAACATTTATTTTATTCTATTTTATTTTATTTTTTTTGGTGACCCATCATTATTTTTAGTCACAAGATTAATGTACCAAAACTCTGTTGAGCAGACAGTTTGGGGCTGGGGGGTAGAGATATTGCTTCTCCAAAATGTTAATCCCTATCAAGTTTAAGCCAGGACCATATCTGTGACTTGTCCTTGCAAAATTAACATGATAAATGGGACTGGATCTGTTATCTCAAATGGACTTCCTACAGAAATAAAAAATGGTGCAAAAGCAGAGGCACAATTGGAGGGGTTCTATAAGACTGCCTCTTTCTTAGCACTAATGTTTCAAGATTACACCTTATTATAACAATGTGATAATTTCAAATTCAATAGCCATGCATCAGCCTTGAACACATCCGTGGAGGGAGATGTGAGGTTCCGTGATTCCCTTTTGTGTCAAGGTTGAAGGTTAACAATGGAAAGTGAGGACAACATCCTTGCAGTTATCTCTTCCCCCCAGGCCTTAAACTAGGACATTTTATTTGAGAAAATATGTCTGATTTGCTTGACCTATGAAATGTCTACCTATTCATCTTTTATTTAACAAAGCTCAATTAATCTCCGTCGGGATTCCTGCAGTAGCCTTGTCTTACTTTTTAGGAGAGATCAATCTTAAGCACCCTTAAATCTGTACAGACATTTAAAAAATATAATAATAATAAAAAATAAAACCACCTGTGAGAAGAAACTAGAATCAGTTACTCCTCCCTCCTCATTCTAAATATGGTCCTTGGAGCACTTGCTTCAGAAACTAAAAGTTCGGGGGTTTTCAAATTCGATTATCTATTCAGATCCAAAGAGTCTATAAATGTCATTCTAAGTGACTATTAAATATGAACATGTAAATGGTTGCAAGCTATAGAAGACAGGACATTCCTTTTCATGGGTGGTTATATCCCTGTATTGATGCATATTTTGGTTGGGATAATTAATTGAACCCATAATTTTTACCTTTCGAAGAGCATTTATTTGAACAAATGTTACCAAAGAAGATTTCATAAGAAAAATAAAATTTAAAAAGCAAATGCTTACAGTCTTTACCTCTGGTACACCTTGACGGTTGGCGGTTTTCTGTTTCAATCTGGCCTCCGTTTTAAATATAATTTCTTGAGCTTGTTGCTGCAGCTTGTGTCTTGGGAAGAAGGTGGTTACACAATATCTGACAAACCAATGCCCCGAGGGGAGATTGTTGTCGGTGGGTGCAGTGTGACGGCTGGATACTTGGATAATGATTCCAAAACTAAAGAGGTTTATAAGGTGCGAATTATTCTAATTAGTGATTAGCAACCTGACAATTGATGTTGTAGCCTAATTTTAGTGTTATGCTTCTCTAATACAGGTTGATGAGAAAGGCATGCGCTGGTTCTATACTGGTGATATTGGAAGGTTTCATCCTGATGGATGCCTTGAGATTATTGATAGGAAAAAGGATATTGTTAAGCTTCAACATGGGGAATACATCTCACTGGGAAAGGTATGTATATAATTTTTGAATTAAGAGTTGTTAACTTCAAGTTTAACTGGGACATAGATAATCTGATTGTCGTTTATTAGACATGTAGTTTGCCATATATTTACTTTCATTTGTTTATCTATGTTACCCAAACTCGCCCACTATAAACGTGTGTGTCAGGGTAAAGTTGTACTTGGCTAAGATGTGATGCTGAATTGCAGGTTGAGGCTGCACTTGCTTCAAACAATTACGTAGATAACATCATGGTCTATGCAGATCCTTTCCACAACTTCTGTGTAGCCCTTGTTGTCCCTTCACATCAGGTCCTGGAGGGATGGGCCCGTGAAGTTGGAATCAAATTCAAAGATTTATCCGAGCTGTGCGAAAAACCAGAAGCTACAAATGAGGTCCTGCAATCACTAACCAAGGTTTATTTCTTACCAGCTTACGAGGAAGATTTATTGTGAAAATAATTAATTCTTACATTTCCTCTGACTTGTAGATAGGTAACCTGAAATTTTCCGCTTAAATATATTTCCTCTCTATGTAAGAAACTGAAGAAAACGGAAAATAAAGTATTTGAGCAGACTGGAGCATCTCTGCGCTTTAGACCGGGTCTCTGAAAAGTGGGAATGTTATTTCTTCTGTTCATATGTAGACTAGTCACTTATCTTTTCCCTCTCGTTGCACCTGGGCACAGGCCTTTTAAGGGAGTCACGAGAGGGAGTGGGGACTCGTGGATCCAGGCATTGGATGATTGGGCATAATCTTGTTGCGCTAGAATATGAAGATAGTTTTGAAAACTCCGCGATTTAGTCTCTCATGATGAATCAATTATGTTTAGGCCTGTGATTTTTTTTGACATTTACTCATATTATGCAGACAGCAAAAATAGCGAAACTCGACAAGTTTGAAACTCCTGCAAAGATAAAGTTGTTGGCTGAGCCCTGGACTCCAGAATCTGGGTTGGTTACTGCAGCTCTCAAGTTAAAGAGAGAGCAACTGAAGACAAGGTTTGAAGATGAGCTCCAGAAGCTGTACCAGTGACACGTTTTCTTGCTTATTCGCTTATGCCGAAAATCAAACTAATTTTAATGGAATAATTTTTGTTTTAATTTCGAGGCTGTAATTACTTGTAAACGTACATTTGTTACACAAACTAATATGTGGGTTTTGAAACCCTGTTTGGACCCTCAACTTATGAGGGTGCTCTATTATGGTTGTCGAATCTGATTTTTTTATGAAATTAGCACTGAACTTTCAACCGATGTAATTTGAACGTGGCAGGCAGATATATGAAATAATTTCATACATCGTTTGTGCTATATTCTATATATACATGACGTGAGATATGAATGAGTTAGAATATATTCAAATAAAAATAAATAAAACTCCTTATGTATATGTATTATTATAAAAAAAAAAAAAAAAAGGTTGAACCCCAACCTTAAGGGTCTTCCACCGTCCCTGTCTTGGAGCATCGTGAGGGAGGTAAATCGCAGGTTATGCCTCCAAGAGTACAGGGTGGAAGGTTACTTGTACACTTGTACTTACCCAAAAGTCAAATCCATATTTTAGGATTTGAACCCTTGACACGATAGCTTCAAGCAAAGTTGGATTTCTCCACCCTCTCCTTTTACCACTTGGAGATGTACCCTGGGGGCATATATGTATTATTCTTCATACATTAAGTTGAGATGGAACTAGTCGATTCCATGATTATAAGTTCATTCCATACCAGACCGGAATAGGGTTCGGGCTGTCGCTATTGACTGACCTCTAGTCGAAGGAGGCAGATGGTTTCACAAATGGACTGGGCTTGGATTTTTTGGATTTGGTTCCTTTTGGTTTTAGCATATATTGATGAAAAATTGCGAGTCACCAGTGTCATTCAAATTAATTATCGACTTTGATTTAAGTTAGTAATTTTTAAGCTTTTCCGAACGAGTCCTGAAATTTTATATTGTCAAAAAAATTGAAAAACTTCCCATGTCTGATAAATAAATGCTATCGGCGTCGCAAGTGTCAACTGTCTAAACTACCAGTCTTTCACTTCTCGCTTCAGCCATTTAAGCAGATAAGGTTGAACCCAAATATTTTCGATCTCTTCCATGGCCGAAGCTTCAAGAATCCTACAAACCACATTCCTACCCACTCTTTCTCCAAACCCATATCCAAACTTGAATCAGTACTATTCCCCTTTGATCTTTAAAAGAAACAAGACCACAATTCACACTATTCGTTGCTCTCTTTCCACCACTGAAACTGCCACCAAAATCACCCCGGACAACAGCATTCCATGGGGATGCGATATCGACTCACTTGAAAACGCCTCGGCGTTGCAGGAATGGCTGTCGGAATCGGGGTTGCCTCCCCAAAAAATGGGTTTACAGAGAGTGGACGTAGGAGAGAGGGGCCTTGTTGCTCTCAAGAATATACGCAAGGGCGAGAAGCTCCTATTTGTGCCCCCTTCACTCTTCATCACAGCCGATTCTGTAAGTGTATTCTTGTTTATGGACTTGGATTTTTTAATTTAATTCACTGGAATATTTACGGAATCTATTGAAGGATGAGGTTAATTGAAGACTTCATGCATTTCAAGGGATATGCTTCCTCAAAATAAATAAATAAATAAAAATTATGCTATCAATTTGATGGAATGGAAATCAAGTTTTAGAATAACTATGATGGTGGAGAACGGGAGGGATTTGGATAGGATGTATTTCTTAATTAAACAATATGGACAAGATTTTATATTCTTATCATTTTGTGATTCAATATTATCATAAATCCATAAAATTCGACAATTTTTTCTCTACTTGGCCCTCCTGACCTATGACAAGCTTTGAGGATCTCCCCCATCTCCCCGTAACCAATTCAATCTTTCAGGATCAATGTTAGAATTTGGAAAAGAAGAATTAGGACGAGTGTGTCATCACATATACTTGATGATGACCACCTAAGCCTAGTTCTAGTTTTATGCTCCAACATCTATCTCAAAAAGATCATCCAAGCTTGTGAGATCTTGAGTAGAGCATCTAATAGAGAAGATGAAAGCCGAGTTTTCAGTAATCTGTTTGAAAAGGGAAGACTATCCTAACTCTTTTTTTGACCTTTGTAGAATTTTTGCATGAGACGAATTTCTTGTCAATTTTCACGCTGTCTTGCAGTATTGTATCCACATGTTAGCACTTACGTTTCTTCTCATCTACCTGAGGCTTCCTTTTATACCTGGCATGTTAAATAAAATATAAATGTCTTGGCTACAAAGATTTTTTTCCCATGCAATTATAATTTTAGGGCATAAGATTCAAATACCACTGAAATGCCTGTTCTACAGGGTTTGACTGAGAAATTGTTTGATTGATTGAATTAACTACTGCTAAGAACAATTGGATTACTTGCATTTGGGATGGTTTTTTGGGTCATGTTACTTTTCTGTGAGGGATGTACATTTCACTTGTTATAGCGTTCTTCAATAAGAGTTACCTGCCTTGCGTTTGCTTATGTCAGGAGTGGAGCTGCAGTGAGGCTGGTAAGGTGTTAAAACAGTATGATGTTCCAGATTGGCCATTGCTTGCAACTTATCTCATCAGCGAGGCAAGCCTCGTGAATTCTTCAAGGTGGAATAACTATATTTCAGCCTTACCACGACAGCCATATTCACTTCTGTATTGGTAAGCTTTTACATGTTAATAAATGATCTTGTGGAAGAGCTTGTTGAGAGTTTGCATTTTCCTATTTTTGGTCCAAGCTTGGTAGGTTTCCTACAGTCATTCTTTGTCATTTCAGGACTCGTTCAGAACTAGATAGGTATCTGGAGGCATCACAAATACGAGAGCGGGCAATCGAAAGGATAAATGATGTTACTGGCACGTATGGCTTCTTTTCACTACTTCAAAATATAATGGGTTTTTGTTTTCTTAATGTTGCTTACAGTTGCATACATGATTAAGTTTAAAATTTGCTAATTCATTGCCTTTCTCATTGTTTAGCTATAACATGATCTCTTGTGCAGATACAATGACTTAAGACTCAGGATATTTTCAAAGTATCCTGATTTATTTCCTGAAGAGGTACATTATCCATATAGAAGTCTCTTATTGAAGTGGCATTAATTCTATATATGCTATTCCATAACTAGTTGATCTCTTCACTTTCATATTCAGAGATGAATGGTGGCATTTGATGTTGAACCTCAGTTTTAAATAGAACGAAGGTACAACAGAAGAGAAAGTTCATTAACTTTCCCTTCAGCCGTTCAGTTTCCAGTAGGAGAGACCAGAACAAGATGTAATTAAATAAACTCCTGCTCAGGCTCACATTAATTAATGTTAAAAAGGGGGAAATTTTTTTTTGGAGAAACTCCTACCTATTTTAAGTATCTTCGCCCGTCTACTGTTATGTTGTTATTATTGATTGATATAGGTAAAGAAAGTGCATGTACATAGGAACTCATTCATCCATGCACCTGCAAAGATAATTACAGTATTTAATGGAGTACAGATGCAGAAATTAGAAAACCAACTTTCTATAGTGTACTGCATTGGTAGAGGAATCTTTTCATTGAAACTTCAGAAAGGATGACGGATAAACGTATATTTTGAATACTAAATTGAATGATTAAACCTGGAAAGCATCCCTACAAATATTCTACACTACAAAATTAGGAAACAGATATACTAAAAAAGAAAAGTACAACGTAGGCGTTAAAATGTGGAGATCAGAGAGTTCAAAGCTCAAATCACTCATCTTATAGACGATTTCCCCTGAATATGTAATTCATTTGGTT